TGCCAACCCATAGAACTTAAAAGGAAGCCCTAATATAAATTGTGGTCTGAGTGACAGTGTATCAGTGTAGTTTCACTACTTGGAACAACTGTAACACTATGGTGGGAAATATTGGTAGTGGGGAAGGATATCTTGTATGCATGAGCAGGAGTCACCTGGGAAATCTCTTTACTGGGGAATCTAGAACTGCTCCACAGAGTAGTCTGTATTAACTAAACCCATCTATGTTAAAATTTTTCTGAATCTAGAACTGCACCAGAAAATAGTCTGTTACTCAAAACCATCAATGTTAATTTAGTTTTTCTCTGAACCATGTTCTCAGGAAAAAAATGTACCACCTATTATTCTTTCTCAAAATCTGTAATGTTTTTCTTTATGAGCATTATAAATATTAATATTGTGTTTATGTGCTTCAAATTGTTAAACAACTTTAGTAACATGTATTTCACCAAGTCCTCAAATGAGTAACATGAAGTAGGTAATACTTCTGTTTTCTATGAAGAAACAGACACATAGAAATACTTAATGAATTTCTCCAAGATTGTACGACTGTGTGAATAAGGACTAGTCCTTATTCTTTTGTCAGGTTAAGCCAACTAGTAAATTGTCATGTATTTTCTTGTAATATGCACTTCTGCAGATCCTTACCTTACCTCTGTTATTGTGACCCTCTGATTGAATGGAAAGACACTTATCTCCAAAGTGTGTAAATGTTTGATATCTTAAATCAATGACAAATACATGGCATGCATGCCCTAGCGGGCTGTTTCTTATCATTGAAAGCACTAAAAGATCACTGACCTAAATGACACTCATGTGATTTTAAATAAGATATTTAGTTACACTCTATAAATATCTGTCTGATCAATGCCACATTGGTGGGGGAATAATTGGTAAAAAAGATAAATATCCTTATAGCTTCCAGAATCATATTCATAGTGTCTCTTTCCCTTTGTCCCCCATCCCCATTTTTTAAATTTGTGTGTACATTATGTTGCATGGGCAGAGTGATAATACTAGTGGTGGTACTGATTAGAGAGGACAAAATGGCTAAATTTTATTTCTGCTGTGTGCTATCTGACAATTTTTCACAGAGAACTCTTACATAGTTAGCAAATACTTATCAAGCACCTTGTATTTGAAGGATTGATTTGTAAGGTCAGATTACAGACTGTCAAATTCATTTTTAAGAAATTTATCATAAATACCAACTAAGTAACAGGAATTGTCAATTTTTTTGAAATGAGAAAGGATGAAAAGGTTTGCAAGGGGCATATATCTTTTACAGGTTTAGAAAGAAACTAATTTCATTAGGGTTTCGTTAGGGATTTTCATACAGTTGTAGGAAGTTGTTCAAATAACATAGAAGCTGGCCCATTTAGTCACATAACAAAGTACCAAATCATCCCAGTATGATCCACTGGTTCTTAATGGGAAGGAAAATATCTGGGTGACTTGTTGAAAGTAAAAGTTGCATTGAGAGATTCATTTTTGTTCAGCAAAGTTGAGAGTGAGTTTGAGATACTTTTGTTTACTTTGATGGCTTAAAATTTCTTTACTGATATTGGTGAAAATTCTTTATATGTTTTAGACATTTTTTCTTATGGTTCTATTAAAAATCCATCCTGTGATATTTCAGAAGCCTGACACTTAGCACAGACTGATATCCTGGTAGTGTATGTACGTGAACCTTAAGTGGTTAGAACCCAGACCTTGAGGACAAAGATTCTTATAGCTTTGAATTTTGTGCCTCCCCTTATTAAAACCAAAACCATATCACAGGGTTATCTACTTTAATCAACATCTATTCTTAAGTGGGAATTGTGCAGGAATGGTCAGTTTATATATACCATTATACTGACCATTATGAGGGAATATACTTCATTAATTCTTTAAGGTGGATAAGACTTTGTGAATATTTGAGCAAATAAATGTTTATTTCTAAAACTTAGAACTTAGGGTTATGTAATTTCATTATATGACAATTGAAAACAAGAATCATGAGATTTAATATCTTTTTATACTAACTAGTTAAAAGGGCTCACACACAAAAAGTTGTTGATTATAAAAGCAGTACATATTCATGGTAGAAATTTACAAAGACTAGAAATAGATAAAGAGAAGGAAGTGGCATAATCACAAAAATAATACCTTGAGTTTTAGTTGTTCAAACTTCTTGCTGTTCAATTGTATGTACAGTAATCCAGGTTTACCTGCAGGGGATATATTGCAGGACTGCAATGGATGTCTATAGATGGTTTTGAGTCTTATGATTTTTGCATACCTAGATGCGTTCCTGTGATGAATTTTAATTTATAAATTAGGCATAGTAGATTAACCACAACTCCTAGTAAAATAGAACAATTACAACAATATGTTATAATAAAAGCATTATTAATGTGGTCTAAAAATACTGTGTTTTTACCTTTTCAATTAAAGAAAGTACTTTAAAGCTTCGTTTTGTCACATCCAAATTGCCACCATCATTACTCTTGTCTATTGAGGCTGTTATTAAATAAAATAAGGGTAGGTGAATATAGGCACTGAGATCCTGCTGTAACCCACATGGTTAGTAAATCACTAATGGGTGGGTAGAGTGTAGGGTGTGGATATGATAGACAAAGGGATGACTCACGTCCTTGATAGGACAGTGCAAGATTTTATCATGCTGCAAGAAAGAATGTGTAGCTTAAAATGTAAATTATTTCGGGAATCTTCCATATGATATTTTTGGAATGCGATTGACTGTGGATAGCTGAAACTGCAGAAAGCAAAACCATAATAAGGGAGGACAACTAAGGATGCTAAGATGATATGTACAGATTTGTGTCTTGCTAATATAGCATAAAAATTTCCAATAAAAGTAAATATTTATTTTTATTTTTTTAGATTTCTTATAAAGTTTTGAATAGCAAATATAATCTTGAGTTTCAGAATTCAAAAGATATAAATGATTCAGTCAGTGGAAAATAACTTTCTGTTGTCCCTATCACACAGCTACCTAATTTTCCTTATGTATACAAGCAAGGTGATATTTTTTTCAAAAAGATTCTTTCAGAGAAATTGATATGCACATTAGCACACCACTATTATTATGTATCTTACTCTTTTCCTTTTTTAATTTTTGTTATAAAGCTTTGGTAATTTAAAAAGTCAAATAGTTTAAAAGGTCTGGTATACCTCCACCCCCACACACTTGTTCTTTTCCTCATTTCATTTTTGGAGGAAACTCTCTTAACTTTCATCTCTTAACTGACTAATTTGGTTTTACCTTTTTGTCTGTAAAATAATTGCCTTGTTACTTTACTATTATTTACTGCACATGATCAGGTTCTTCTAACTATATGCTGCTGATGTGTTTCTCTTGTAATTTGATTGAGATCAATCAGTATCCAGTGTTACACTGTTGTTAGTCTGTTAATCCTGTCAAAGCTAACCCATACAGGTAGAATCTAATCTCTTTACTATTTGGTAACATTTTTTTTTTTTATTTTCCTGGAATATTTAACTTGTTTTATTAAGTTTTCTTACTTTTCTATTTAATTATAACTATTTTATTCATTATGTGGTACTCCAAACTTTCCAATAACCATCAGTTGTGCTGTCAGTTTCATCCTTTGACTCATCTGGAGTTGTGATACTTTCCCATCTGGACTGGTCTCCCTTTTTTCCTTGTTTTACAGCTATCAAACTGGAATTTCTCTTTCTAGACGTGTTGGGGTTCCCTTTCTCTCTTTCTTCTCAGGACCAATTGCTATGGTTATTATAGTTTCATATAGTTCTGGTTTCCTCTTCTTAGAATCTTCTTGACTATTTCTGCCTTATTTTTTTTTACATAAAATGTTTGCCTTTATACATATTAACCATGGATTTCAAAACTGCTGAATGTTATCATTTTGAATTGTGTGAAACTGATATTTATTCTAGTAAAATGGATAAGCTCTTTTTAATAACATTACTGTGTTTCATAGTATTATACCTAGGAATATATTTTTACATACAGAAGTTTTTAAAATGTTGATTCTTTTGAATTTTACATTTATATAAACTTGTTATCTGTTGGGTTTTTTTTTTTTTTTTGATAGTACCAGAAATTGAACTCACGACCTCATGCTTGCAAGGCAGGTGCCGTTCAGCTATATCCTCGGTCCCTAAACTTATCTGAAACTAATATAGATAGACGCCTTTGTAAATTATTATTCTTTTTTAAATCTTTTTTACCCTATACTATGTGATACCAGTGATGATGGACCTATATAGGTTTGTATTTAGGTTTCTTCACTAGTGTATTATCTATTATCCATGTATTTTTCATGTTAGATACTTATTATTGATTAAAAGTCTTGGTAAGTGGTAAGTTCTTCAGTGGATATAATCATATTTTCAAATAGAAAACCAAATATTTTATTATGTCAAACCAGTTTTGAATGTCAAAGATAAACTACTTGATGCTAACAGTGATACATTCTTTGTTTGGTGTATTCTCAGGCTTTTTTGTTCTTTTTAAAAAATCTTTGTATCTTATTTATTTATACTAATAGCCTTTGTAATTCATTTGTGTATAATATTTCTGTTAATTTTTATATCATTTTCTATGTAAAAGTAATTTGAAAGTTTCTGTACTTCAGAAAAGTTAACTTTTAGAGTTTTTGCTGTTAAATATTTAGTAGAGCTTATAGTCTCATTGACATCTGGTACTTCTGTGTAGATTAGCTCCTTGACAGCATTTCTGTTCCTCTTTGGAATATAGTTACCAAATATTGCTTCTGTGAAATCTTTTGTTGTGTCTTCAAAGACTTTATAATGTCTTAGGATGCTGGTAATAATGTTTTTCTTAGGATTAAACACTTTTAAGTTATTTAGCTCTTAAGGGTATTAGGATGGGAACTTCACTTTATTGCCTCAAATTCTAGCCCATGTAGGAACTATAGTGACTTAATTATTTTTTTTTAATTCTTTTTTGTTTTATTTTGTTGTTTCTGGTTGTGGATATTTTACAGGCTTCCCAGTTGGCATGTGTGTTGTAAAGAGAGTTCTTCAGCTTCTGCAAAATCGTATTACTCTCAAGATGATAATTGTGCACTAGAAAATGAAGATGTACAATTCCAGAAAAAGGTACCTTAAATAGAGTTGACATTATTTTGTGTGTAGACTATCTTTAAAAATAGTGTTGCAGTTTTCAGTGGAGTTCTGTATTATCCTTGCTATACTCAAGGTGTATAGGAATAAAGAGTTAACTCAAATAATTTTGAAATTAAGGTAACTCAGAGACTGTGTGTTTATTATTGTTGTTTATATTTAGGATTTCATTAGCATCCTTAGACTCAGTTCTACAGTAAGAAAAAATAGTGCATGTTCAGAAAACTAGAAGTACATTCTCTCTTACTTATTCCCCGCCCCCGCGCCTCCCTCCCACTGGAAGTTGAATACTGAACTACATCCTCATTACCCTTTGAATTTTTTATTTTGATAAAGGATCTCACTATGTTGTCCATTTTGAGCTTGAACTTGTGATCCTCTTCTCAGCCTCCTACATGCTGGAATTAAGGGCATGCACCACTATTTACAGTTAATGGTGTCTTATTAATGCTGTGAGCACTTAGAGGATTTCTAAAGAAACCCCAATTTTATAAATACAAAACTATTTGAAATTGAGTATTACAGGGAGAATTTGTAGTTTTACATGATTAAATACAGTGAATAGAGAGAATCCAAAAAAATGTGATGTCTCTAACTCATGTATTTTTTATCATTTTAAATGGTAAAGATGAATATTAACTAGATTTACCTTTTGCCTCCAACTTCAATGTATTTTAAATCATAAAAGTAATTTATACTAACTGTAAAATGTTCATACTGATATACTACTCCCTTCCTAAAGAAACTACAGTTAACAATTTCTTATAAAAATGTTCAGGTCTTTTTCTGGGGCTATAGATATACAAACTAACATTATTTCTATTAAAATATCTTATAAATATTCTACAGATTTATTTATACCTTCCCAAATCATGTCTCACATGTTGCTGTGTTCTTTTGAATGACTGCATTTTCATATATCACAGATAAATCTAGTTTATTAATTATATCCTTCTTGATGGGCTTATGCATTGTTTCCCAGATGTGTCTGTGCATATGTATTCATGGATACAATGCGTTTATCGGTGCCCATTTTTGCAACACATTTACATGCTTTTTTTTAGCACAATATTTAGAAGAGATTTGTTGAGTTATGTAGAATATATTTCTAGGATAGAGCATTTAAAATTTTGAAGATTTGCTAGTTACTTACCTTCCAGAAAACTATAATTTTATGTTTTTCACCACAATCCATGAGGCTAATAAATCTAATTTCTTCTTTGAGATATTTGGAGACCAAATAAGCAAAGCTCTAGGGGGAAACATTCTTTTTAGCAAGCATTTATATATCTGAAATGTACAGATAGGCTCAAGAAAAATGAACATAGACTTTGTTTTTATCAAATTTGTATTCTAAGAAACATTTAAAGACATGCAGGATGAAACAAAATGCTGTATGTACATTCATTTTATCAAATATTGAAGTGCTAGGCATGTAGAATATTTACTATGATAAATATTGATAATATTGGAAAGTAGGAGGATGCAAGATAAGATAATATAGACCATAGTTGGTTTTAAAGTGTAGAAAGAGATGGTCTTTATTGTTGTTAGAGAACTCTTGAAATAATTGTATCAGTTATTCTTTTTTTCCTTATTGCCTTACAGAATGAAAGAAAGGTACCTGTAAATGCTGAATTATCAGGAAAACCAAGTTCAGACTTACCAATTCCTCCAGAAGAAAATAAATTAAAAGATGAGACTATTGTGGATGTACAAGTAAGTTGTGTTGCTTTTGTTTTTAACATGCTCCTCCATGAGATAGCATACCTGTTTGGCTTCCATATTTGTATATTGTTATTTTTTTATTTTTAATTACTGTGCAGTGGGACTTAATATTATTTACCTCCTTATAGTACTGCTTTTTAGAGTCATACATTTGTAATAAATTTGATTATTCTTTCTGAAGCAGAAGTATGAGTTAAACATAGAAGACAAAATAAAATAAAGAGAAAGTAAAGAATGACATGATGCAAAGGCCCCAGACTCCCAGACTACCTAAGACAGACCTGGAACTCAACAAGGTGGATAAATTTGGAAGTCAAACACTGGAACTTTCTGAAATGATAACTACAGAGGTGACCAAAAAAAAAAAAAAAAAAAGTGGAAAAGGCTATAGAAAAAAACGATCTCTCGGGTACAGAAAGAAATGATGCTTTAAGTCAAAGATAATAGAGAAGACACAAATAAAAGAATAGATGAGCTTAGAAAAAGATGGGAACAAAAAATGCCCAACGTAGAGAAATGGAATCCTTAAAACAGATCCAAACAGAGACCCAGGAGATTAAAACCTCCATTAAAAGTATATGTAACAGATTGACCAAAGAAAAGGATAGAATTTCAGATCTTGAAGACAGAATTGCAGCTAGTAAAGAAAGATATCTCTAAACTAGCAAGAGACCATGAGAAATTAACCCAGCAGCTACAAGATGAAGCAAAGAGGAACAACACAAGATTGAGTGGGGTCAATGCGGTATCTGGAGATGGCACGAAAGCCATAACAATCATAAAGAGACCATGAGAAATTAACCCAGCAGCTACAAGATGAAGCAAAGAGGAACAACACAAGATTGAGTGGGGTCAATGAGGTATCTGGAGACGGCATGAAAGCCATAACAATCATAAGTATATGTGCAACTAATACAGGAGCACCCAACTGTGTAAGACAGTGGTGGACATGGAAAATTAGATGAGCAATAGCACAGTTGTAATGGGAGACCACATTGTACCCATTGTTACAGAGAGACAAATGAACTTGACAGAAACTCAACAAAGAGATATCAAAGCCGAACCAAACCTGTCAACAGATAGAGTTAATAGGAAGAAGCCAATTCCCAAGACCACACACCAGTGGCCTGGAAAGATCTGGTGAGCCCAGCACTAGCCTGGAGAAGAAGCCACACCCCAAAGCCCTGCTGCTATCGGGATCATCAATAAGCCATTGCCCTGTGACTACCACTCTAGGAACACCAAATCAGGGGAGCTCAGGTGCCTAGTCCAATTCATTAGACTGAGGGATAGGCAGCCAATGCAGAAAGCTCTTGGGATGCAGCAGTGGACTGATTGAGAGGAACACAGGAAAACATAATGAAGCTGTGAAACACAATTTCAGACCTCAGCCCACACAGAATTAAGTTGAGGAGACACAGCCACAGCAGAAATTAGAAGTCACACCTGAAATTTCTGAAAAGATACCAAAGTAAAGAAGCAAGTTCTTCTAGTGTTTGGTTAATTTTACATGCCTACATCTGTTGGTGTGGACAGCAGTACTGATGATAATGAGGCCTTATGGTAGCCATTATTAATTTCCTGTTATCTTGTTTTGAAGTCCTATATTGTTAATCATTGTTGTGTTTTGTTTGGTTTTATTCTGTTTTGTTTACTTTTTATTATGTCTGATGGTTTGGGCAACTGTTTTGAAGATAACAAGATATATTATGGTAGCCACTGTTGATTTCCTATTATCTTGTTTTGAAGTCCCTAATAGCCTTCATTGTTTTGTTTGATTGACTTTATTCTGTTTTGCTTGATTTTATTCTTTTTAAAATAAAAAACAATTTGGCTCATAGTATGTCTTCTCTCTTCATATTTTCAGATAAATGTTTTGTAAACTGTCTCCTGTACAACAAAAAGTATTTTATGTAGAGAACAGTAGTTTAATATGAGTGTTTTCACATGCATGAAATATGAATTAATAGGTAATAAGTAGAATGTTATTCCATGTTGTGCACCAGTGTTTGTGAAAGATATTAAAAACTAAAATAAATACACTGTAAACTCAGAATGTTGAAACATCTGGAAACAGTTTAATATCAGCAATAGCTGTAGGAACTGGATATTTGATATAGAGGTAGAAACATTAAGGCAAATCTTAGTGTCTCATATTAAAAAAAATGTTAAAGTCAGAATGAGAGAAAATTATGTTTCTTTGTTAATACAGTTAGTGCTCTTCTATGACTTGCTGGGCTAAGGATGTAAAGTGAGTTTCATTTCATTGGGTTTTGGAAGACATTTGTTGAAGATACGTACATAGGAGTAAGAGAAAAGTGTTACCTGTTGTCCTTCAAGTTATGTGATTGTCCTGAACGTTCCTCCCATATGTTTTCTTGATTCTTTATCTTGATACACTCATGCTCAGTGAGGTGTTTGATGCAGCTGGTATATTTATGTTGTTTAGTACAATAATCACATGTGGCTATTGAGCACTTGAAGTATGGCTAGTCTGTGCTGAGAGTTACTGTTAAGCATGATTTTTGAAGACTTGGGTAGAAAAAACAATGTAAAATGGCTCATTTAAAATTTTTTGAATATAGTATTGAAGTGATACTATCTGGTGATATGGTAGGCCTTTTTCAAAGCCTCCATCATAAACATGCAGTGTATATTTATGAATTTTTCAGTGGAAGTAGTCCACATGATCGTGCTTTGTATTCTTTTTACCATATGGTCTGTTTTGTGTTGTCCTTTACTAGCCCTTTGAGTTGAAAGAAGTACATAGAGTGATACCCTGTATCAGAAAAAACAAAAAATTAAGAAATTCTATTTCTCATTGACTGTGGGGGAGGATGTGCTTCCTGTAAGAGGTTTTGATTGTGAAAAAGTATAAGGTAGATTTTAGTGTTTGGAAGGATGTCCCAAGGCATTATTAAAGACTCAAGGAATACAAAGAATCATTATTTTATAATGTCACTCAGGTGTATCTTATATTGTTATTTCTGGATACACACCATTTCCTAAACTGCTTAGGGGCAAGGACTATGTGTTGTACTGTCTTATATATTTATATAGGACTTGTTAGTTGGTATTAAGGCTTTTATGTACATTTAGAGGAAATATTTGTAGGTTCTGATAATATAGTAAAAAGTAGGAAAGGAGAAAGGCAAGCTCTTTATGCTACTTTTAAGTACTATGAAAAATGTATACATACTTTTTTTTTAATGTGAACTATATGCCCTTAGTGGTAGTTAGAAGAAAGGATTTTATAAAAGTATGTTTTAGTGAATATTCTTATTTATGGTCATTTTTCAGCTTTTTGTAAATTTTGTTCAGCAAAAGAGATGATTTATTCTCACTAGTTAACTTTATTTTAACAGAATATAGAGTCACAAAAGTTAAGACCACCTGTGACTGAGACACTGCCTGCAGTTGATTTACATGAAGACTCTTCCAGTGTAGTCATGAGCAATGAAAATGTAGAAAATACTTCCAGCTTATCTACCTCAGAAATCACTCCAACTGAAAAGCTTGAGTAAGTCATTACAAAGGGAGAAAAAAAAATCCCTAATGATGAAAACTTCCTTTATAGGATATGGCAGCTGTGATAGTCAATGTTGAAGTCTAGACTAGACAGTAGACTTAATAGTATCTGTGTGTTATGTGTTCTGAATGGACTTTAAGAGGTCTTTTGTTTATTTGTTTTTTAGCTGTTTAACTCAGTGAAATTGATTACGTCCTACTCAGGAAGCCTCTACATAGTATAGGCAAAGTGAGGCTCTGCGTAGGTGTTTGACAATCTTTTTCATATTTATCTAAAATTTAAATGTCAGATTATTCATCTCCATTAAGGCTCATGGGAATTCCATTCATAGTTATATCTTTATGCAAATAGCTGCTTTTTCAAATTTAATTATAGTATTTAAGTCATCACTGCTTTAGAAAATCAGTTGTTTACTCCTCTGAGCTCCTTTCAGCAGTAATCTAAAGAGCAAAACAAAATGCCTTTCTCTTACTACTACATTAAGATTTTCCTTTATCAAAGGAGTGAATATAGATACATAGAATAATATCTCACATGTGTCACTTAATATCACTATTATAATCATATTACCTTTTTTTACAAGCTGTTTCCAGTGCCTGTCTTCCTTGGGAATGTGAGGGCCTAGGCCAGCGGTGGTAAACTGATGGCATGTGTGTCATAGCTGTTGTTACCGAAAGCTCTAGAAGGTTTGCCATCTGTAGTGTTTGCTAAAGGAGATATACATAGAGGTATTACACTTACCTTTTAACGACTTCCCAGAAAGGGAAAGGAAAACAGAATGTGTATTTAGAAATAATAATTTTTCAAATTTATTAAATTCTTAAATTTCTTAAGAAATAATACTTCAGAAACAGCTTTAGCCTAGATACTGAATATGTGAATAATGCCTCCTGTTCTCCCATTATATTAAATAGAATTGATAAGAAAAGGGAGATGAGACAAGGACTCATGTCAGTATATTTTTTAAAATGAAATTCTAAAAGTGCCTTGGAACTTCAATGATATGTTTAGAGATAAGAGTTTTGATAACTATAGACTGTAACTGTCACGTTGGTGAAATTAATATGCTAACATTTAACTTTAGATAGTCTACATATACAATAATTTTTAAAATCTTACTTTTTATAAGACCAAATACTAATTTATAAGATGTGATTTCAAAATTTGGTCATTACTTTTTCTAGAAGCAGGGACTGAGCAGTAGTTACTACATGATTTAAAATGACGAATTCTTGAAAACATTGCAGAACTGGAAAGCATTCTTCTTTCTTTGGCTTAGATTATGTTTTGGAAATCATTAATAGAATTTATAAATTGCCTTACATTAGGCGCATTAGATTACCAGGTTGTCATTTTTGTTTCTTCTTTTAGTGAAATAGAAAAATCTGGTACTGTCCCTATTACCAAGCCAAGTGAAACTGAACACTCTGAAACCAACTGTGATGTTGGTGAGGCCCTTGACCCAGATGCTCCAGTTCAACAGCCTTCCTTTGTCAGTCCGCCTGAGAGGTGGGTATGAGCAGACAGTGATTTCTCCTCGATAGGACTTTGTGATGACAGTAGTACCATGTTTGAATGGACTTTGCTGTATACTTGAACTCTACTGACATAAAAAAGTCTGATCTCTGTTCTTTTCTTGATTTACTCTGTATAATGATAATTACAACACTTTAGATTGTATAAAACTTGTTAGCAAGCTAAAATTTATTTATCTTTTGGTTTCAAATAGCCTTGTTGGCCAGCATATAGAAAATGTGTCATCTTCACATGGCAAAGGGAAGATAACAAAATCAGAATTTGAATCAAAAGCTTCAGCAAGTGAACAAGGTGGTGACAATCCAAAATCTGCATTGAATGCTTCAGATAATGTAAAAAATGAGGTTGGTATATAATTGGCACCATCTCCTACTTTATTATACAGTGCTTTTTTTTTGCTTTTAGCCGATTTTATAATTTGCTGCCTATAAAATTAGAACGTTTAAGTAACTATGTGTGGAACTGATATAAACTGTGATTCTTGGGAGCAAGTAGTCACTTCATGATACAGTATAATATTCCACTGTAATATTTACATGTCAGGTTGTTTCACTGCAGTATTTACATGTAAAGTATGAATGCTCTTCGATTATTGATAATTAAATGATTTTCAGCCAGTACCAGTTATTTGACACTACATACTTGATGTCCTTATTTAAGCTGTGTCTTAGAGAACAGTATAGAAGCTGTAACTTAGTAACACCAAATTAAACTTACCCCTCAGAGTTATTCTCAAGAGACATTCTATCTTTTGTTATGTATGTGCAGAATAAAATTAGACTAACTTACATGTCAGAATATTTTTCTTAAAATAAAGACAAGGTTTATCATAGTGGAACAGTTTTATATTCTTTTTCTAAGATCTTCATTGTGTTCAGGTACAGGCTGATACAAAATTTCCTGAAGAAACTGTTAAGTTAAAGCTCACTTCAGGTTAGAAACAACTAAATAAAAGATAAGACTTCTTCATGAACTTAAAAACAAAACATGTGGAATTAAAGAGTTGTTCGATATATTGCACACCCCATCCACATTTATTCCTTTTAAATTTGGGGTATTCTTTTCTCCACTTTGTCTTCTCACCAGTTCTCAGTGTGTTTACACTTAAAACTAACTGCACTTTATTCTGGAAACAGCGTCACTGGAAAGCTATATTTATGAGGCTTCTTGTAGGTGCTCAACATTTCACAGATCAGCAGCTTGAACTAATTTTAATCTTCTCAGTGAAACCAAGTCAAACATATGTTAAAGTGTAGTTCACAGATTTCACTACTATAAGTAAAGTTAGAGAAACATTAAGACATGTCTCCCGTGGAGCTATTTAAAGCATAGTGACCAGCTCAGTCCTAATGTCCTTAACTAGTAGCAGACAGAAACTACTCTTCATTACCCTAAGAGACATATAGTGTTTGTCAATCTGTGCTAGTAGGCAAATGAGTGGAATTTTAATTTGTTAATTACCTTCTAAATCGTGTCCCTGAAAAATGTCACAGATGATAAGCAATGAGTAATACAATATTCAGTAATTTTATGTGACCTCCAATGCAAGATAACTCTTCCTGGTTAAGTTTGTTATGAATAACAGAGTTTGCTTCCATATGCAGGTAGATCTTCCAGCTGTCTTTGTTAGTTCAGAGATCTATAGGATACCATTTGCCAAGGTTATACACAGTACATTACAATGTGAATTTATTGTATTGTTTGTAGTCTGTGTCACAAAGTTTTACTGTATTGTTTAGTTCTTTTATTGTTGTTAAGAGGAAATAGTGGTTTCTTTGCTTGGAACTTAATGGGCATATATATTCCCTCCCTGCACTGTGGCAATTTTGTATTTAGGTTTTACTTTTTAGTATCTTAGGTTCATTTTTATAATTGCCTTTATTTTTCAATGCATTCAAATTAGATTTAAACAATTTAATTTTTAAATCAAATGCTAGTTCTGTAATCTGTATTTTATCCTCTACCCTCACCTCCATCCTTAGCAGGCACATATTTCCTTAAGGTGCCTAGGTGGTTCTGCAGAAACACTCCAAGATAAAAAAAGGAGAAAGTTGTGTGGCAGCAAGATTTCTTTTTTGTGTGTGTGTTTTTCCTTTTTATCGGTACCGGGGATCGAACCCACGACTGCCTGCTTGCAAGGCAGGCGCTTATGCCGCTGAGCTAAATCCCCAGCCCCAATATATAAACTGCAACTCTTGTTTTTTTTTATTTTTTTTTATTGGTACTAGGGATTGAACTCAAGACCATGCACTTGCAAGGCAGGCACTAATGCCACTGAACTAAATCCCCAGCCGGCAGCAAGATTTCTAAGTCTTCCTAAAGGCAGGGTTGGGAATGATTCTATTTCTAAGACCAGAAAATATGTAATTCTAGAAATAATTTTTATTTTATATTAGTATTCAAATATTCAAAAGCATGCCCTAATATAGCAAACCTGTATAAAATGAAATTTGTACTGTTTACCAAAATTAGTCCTCTAAACAGACTTTACACACTTTAAAGACATTGTTAATAAGCACAGTAAGCATTGACTTAGGAATACAGAAATGATTGCATAATGAACATGTGTTGTACATTATTTAGCTTAAGAAAAAAATACACTGTATGCTCTTCTTCATTTACTGTATCATCTTCCTCCTCTCTTTTATAACCATTGTCTTCAGTGTGTTGATTTAAAAAATTTTAATTTAGCACTTTCCAAATAACCATAAATAGTACCGACACATATTGTTATTAAGCAGTATAGACTGTACTGCAGCCTTTTGCATTTTACTCAACATTGTTTTTGAGGTTCAGTCATTCATTATTCATGATACCAGTCTTCAGTAATGAGCAGTCTTATGCATGTTTGCTTGGATATATGTGCATTTTCACTGATACTTATAGATACATATAGAATTGATAATATATGCTCCTTGTTACTAAATTTTGAAATGTTTGAAACAGTCTGTATTTTCCATGATTGAACAGATACACTACACTTTGCCAGATTGCCAAACTTTATCCTCCATCAGATTGGCATAATTTATATCGTGTTTTCATTTGCGTTCCGTAATTATTACTGAGGATGTATTTTCTTTTTTGTTGAATTCATTATATATATTTATTCTGTTCCCTCTAACTGATTTGTAGGCATTGTTTAGGTTGCAGTAATTCCTCTATGGCTGAATATATTGCAGATAGATTCTAGTTGTCTATTGTTTCATGTAGTTTTTGATATTTTGATTTTTAATTAATTTCTGATACTTTGATTTTTCATTTTAATGTTAGCATTTTGCTTTAATTTTTTTCATTTTAATGTCAAATTTATCAGAGTTATGCATTTTGCATCTTGTTAAATCCTTCTACTGTGTTAATATGGATCACAAAAATGTCTTTCTTAGTAATAAACAGTATATAGTACTTGTACTGCATCTACTTCAAATCTAAGTTAAAATAATGTACTTATTAAAGGAAACTTTTTAGATGTATATAATATTTCTATAAAACCTTAAGTACCATGATACAAAAAATTGTAAGATAGATTTAAAAAACTAAATATTATATTAATTTGTATTGTTTGTAATTGCTTGCTTAGTATATAATGCAATTTCTTTTTCGTTTTTGAACGTCTCTAATGTGAAGGAATGCAGCTTACAGTGCTTAGATAGAAATGGTTGCGGTTCTTTTAGTAGAAGTCTAACTTAAAACTTTTTAAAATATCATTTATTATAAAATTAAACTTAATTAGTCTGTATTCTTTGAAGTTTGAAGTCTGTTATTTTTTGGCATTTCTTTCAGAGTTCTGATCTTGTAAAACCAGGAGAAACTGATGCTACACCTGCGGTAAATCCCAAAGATCCAGAGGATATACCAACATTCGATGAATGGAAGAAGAAAGTTATGGAAGTGGAAAAAGAAAAAAGTAAAATTTACAATGTTGCTGCTGATTTTTTAATATATCATTTACCTTTATATAACTATATGCAATTTTAATCTTAATTAAAACTCATGTAAATTACTGAGGATAAAATGAGACAAAATAGCAGTGATTTTCATTTCACTATGTAAGAGGAAAATTGAAGTGGAAAAAATTCTGAGTCAGAATGCTTTAAACTGTATATGCAAAGTAAAATGTTTTTTGGTTTGTTTTGGTGATCTTTTTTTCCTTTTGTAGAATAAATGTCAGAATTAAGAATTCTTAGTATTGGGGTAACAAAGACCCAAAATTATTTCCATAGACAGAATTCATTTTCTGTTACAGTACTTAGACTAAATGAATCATTTTTGTGGGTAGTTTATTTTCATTAGGGATGTTTTAAGGTATTAGAATGAAGCATCTTGAAATTCTCATGACTTTTTAAGATATCCTGTTAATCATCCTCTTAATTATTATTTGGAAGATAGTTTGTTTCTTTTAGAATCATTTTATTTCTGGGATTATTTTTCAATCATAATCATTATATGTATACTTAATAATGAGGTTTGTCTATAGGTCAGTCATTGCATCCATCTTCTAATGGAGGACCACATGCCACCAAAAAGGTCCAAAAAAATCGAAATAATTATGCCTCAGTAGAATGTGGAGCCAAAATTTTGGCAGCTAATCCAGAAGCCAAGGTACTTCAGTGTAAATTATTTTTATTTAAATATCACATGCTGGTGATTGGTATGCTGGGAGGTACATTTTAATGTGAGCTATTTGTCTGATTCACTAAGTGCAGAATTATGCCTTTCAAAATATTTTATTGTATTAATTCTCATTATATTAGTTTACATATTTATTATATCCTGTTATTTTACTTTTAAAACCTTTTGAAAATTTAAAAATAGGTAATAGAAAATTATTTTATAATTTATAGTTCATATTTTATATAGTATATAATATATTTTATAATTTATAGCAGTAGACATTGAATTTTAAATGGATTGTTATAGGAATAATTTAATGTCATAGTCTTAACTGATACATTTTATTATTACATTTTATGCCTTCCTTCCCCCTACATGTGATTCAGGCTTAGGTATATTTTAAAATCTAAAAGAAATCTGAAGATATTTAGAACTGAAATAATTTCTTTTTATAATTTTTCTGTAAGTGATACATTCATTTTCTCATTTTGAAATAGAGCACATCTGCTATTCTTATAGAAAATATGGACCTTTATATGTTGAATCCATGCAGCACTAAAATTTGGTAAGTAATACAAATTTTTTAAAAGTACATTCTATATGTACATATTATGTTATGCTTTTTATTAGATTGATTATTCATATAATCATTTAATAAATGTTTGTGATTGATTAGTGCTAGAACTTTACAAATTGAGCACAAAATACCTTTCTTCCCAAGAGATGACAAGAAATCAAACAATAACAATAACAATAACTGATTAAACAGTCATGAAATATTATAAAAGATACTATGGCAAGTGTGTTTTAGATGGAGCTGAATAACATGAGGGCTTCTTGAGGGGAGGTAGTGCTATAGCTGAATCTTGTAAGAGTCTTAACAAATGGCAAATGGGGGGTCCTAATGCTTTTAAAAGGAGCATATTTCTGTTGTTGTTGTTGTTGTTTGGTTTTTTTGAGACAAAGTCTCCCTGTGCGCATTGGGCTGTCCTTGAACTCACTTGGTCCTCTTGTTTTAGCCTCCTGGGGGATTACAGGTGTGCGCCATCATGCCCAGCTAGGAGTGTATTTCTTCTGGGTTGTTGAGTGGGAGCAATGTGTAGAGGTTCTTTTAGCATGACAGAAGAAAAGTATATTTAGAGTGGAGATAAGATTATGCTGGAGTGTTAGTTTAGGTGTAAGTAGGCTCTTTAATGCTGCTTCTAATTTAACAATTTTTGAGCTTTATATTTATTTATTTATTTACGGGGGGTGTTGAGCAAGGTTTTACTATGTAATGCAGACTGGCCTTCAACTTGCTTATGTAACCCAGATTGGTCTCAATCTCATGGCAGTCTTCTTGCCTGGGCCTCCTGAGGTTACAGCCACGTGTCACACTCCCATTTGAATTTTATTTTAAAGACTATGGATGATAGATGCCATTTGTTTAAAGAAGTAACATCTCACTGATTTAATTTAAAGAGTTTGTTCTCACAGGTGAGTTTACAGAAGAATGCAGTTAAAAGCAGAGAAATCAAAGTCTGTTTTTATAGTCCAACTTTTAAAACAAGCATTGCCAGTTTGTATGCAGAGGAACTAGGATATATTTGAAAAAGGTTAGCAAATCGTTAATTCTTAATAATTGGGTGTGAAAAAGGGGAGAAGTATTTAGGAGAAATCTCTTAGGATTTTGGCTTCATTGCTTATATTTGTGATTTTTCCACTAAGAATATAAGAAAAGGAACACATTTATGGGGTAAATAATATATGACATACCTAGGTTTATTACATGATTTCATTACGTAAATGCTTCTGATTAATAATGGGGAAAATCCCCAGTATTATGCTAATTTACTAGAATGAATAAATAGTATGTAATAGTTAAGGCACTTTTCAAACCTTGAAGATAACATTTATTCTTTTCTGCCACTCTTGGATTCACTTCTTTCAGAAACATGTACCTTTAGATTCAACTAGAAAATGAACCAAACTGTTGTTGGCAATAAGAGATGATCACTGGTCAATTTATCGTTACCCATAGTAACTCCATACTGTTAAACTTACTTTTTCCTTAAGTCATTTTTTCCGTAAGTGGAATTTGAGGAAATGATTATCTGAGATCATAAAGTGTTTATTAGGAGATTGTATTTTTATTCGTAAAAATCTTGTAATCAGAGAGAGTTGAAAGTTTTACGCTCTTAATATTTTGTATGTCAAGCAAAAACATGCTAGGGTGAAGTTATATGAAGCATTCATTTTGCATTATTATGGTTTGCAGAATAAGTGTCATAACTACTGACACTAATGTTTCAGAGCATGTATTTGTGTAATGTGTTTATTATTATATGTTTATGTGTGCATTTCAATAGAAGCCTCAGAACATCTTTAACTGATTTTGATTAAGTAGTTTGACCACCTGTTACAGTAAAACTACACTAACTTAGTTTTCTAAGTCTTAGTATCTTATAGAGTAAGTTTATATATCTCCTTCATAAATGTCCTCACTCTTGATGTCTCTTCATTTTTTTTTTCTTTTAAATTTCACAATGATCTTATTAAGTTCCCTAAAAACTCATACTGGCATTTTCATTGGACTTGTATCAACTCTAAATGAATTTTGGAATATTTGATATTTTAGGACATTGAATCTTCCTATCCTTTTATTGATAAGATGTTTATTGAGTTCTTATATGATGCTGCTAATTCTAGAAAAACATTTGTTTTTTTTTTCTTACTGCCTAGTAAAAAGTCTAGACATGACTTAGTTTAAATTGTAAAATGAAATATAAGCACCCTAGATAAAATGTTAATGTATATTGTACGTATATTCATTGCTTTATGGATTGTCTTTTCAATTTCTTTATAGTTTCTTTCAATGAATAAAAGCTTAATGTAGTTGTATTTGTCTGTCTGACAATATTAATTTTTTAAAAATCAGATCTTTCCCTGATTTTGGATCATATAGATTTTGCACTTCACATTTAGATTTTTAATCTCTCTGGATTTTTTTCTTTGTGGATTGTCTTTAGGAGGTATCCATTCCCCTTCTCCTGATTTTTCTTTTAAATAGTTGTTTATTTAGTAATTCATACTTTACCCTCTGATTTATAGTGCTCCCTTTATCATAGAGTTCCCTAACCATAAGTACTGGTTTGTATCTGTGCTCTCTTTTTTGTCTCATCAGTTTCTTAATTCCCTCCAATGACAGAATACTTTAGCCTTAAGCTGTAAATTAATTCAATGTAAAAAACAGTGTGTATAGTATATTTATAAAGATACAAATATACATTCTTATTTTTATCCCACTTTTCACAGATGTAAACATCATACTCTTTTTACAATGATCTATTTTACAATTTAGAAATATCTTGTCCATCTCTATATTCCGATGGTAGAGACCTTCCTCAGTCTTTTTGATCATTACATTAAATTCCTTCTTGCGAGTGTAGTAGACGTAGTCTACACTTGGTAGATATTTGGGTTGTTTGTAACTTTTTGTTTTGGCAAAGCAGTATTTATGTTAGAAAGCTTGTGCATACACTGTCTTATGCTTGTGTGGATAATTAGGAAGAACTAGTTGTGGTTTTCTTTTTCTTCAGTTAGTTTTGATAAATTGTTCTAGGAATTGGTCTTTCAAAGTTTTATAGTAATTGTTTTTTACATTGTTCTCTTTGTTTAAGTTCCTTTCAGCTTTAGAAATTTTCTTTTTTTTTTAAAAAAAAAAATCTGTTATTTGATCATTCTCCTTAAAAGTCCATGGAAATTTATCCATTTTGCTTTTATCGATTCCCTCACCATGTCTTTGTCTTCTCTTTCACTAATTTCTGCTTAAAACTTAAGTTTTCTATGTTCTTTAGGCCTAGTCTGTTGAACTTTAATTTTTTAAAAAAATTGTCTATTGGGGCTGGGGGTTTAGCTCAGCGGCATAAGCGCCTGCCTTGAAAGCAGGCAGTCGTGGGTTCGATCCCCGGTACCGATAAAAAGGTAAAAGACCAAAAAAAAAAAAAATTATCTGTTATACACATTTAAATTTATAAATTTCCTTTTTTACTATATCTTTTAAATTTTGATTTTTTAAATCAAACTCCTGTTACATTTGAATCTGTTACTTTATTGATTCATTGATTTTTTTTTTTTTTTGAGATATTGAGGATTTAACCCAGAGCCTTTACACTGAGTTTATATCCTCAAGCCCTTTTTACTTCTTATTTTGAGAGAAGATCTCTAAGTTACCAAGTTGTCCGGGCTGGTCTTGAACATGTAATGCTCCTGCCTCAGCTTCCCAGGGTACTAGGAATACATATGGGTGCCACCATACCTGGCGATTGAGCCTTTAAAATTTCTGACCCAAGCTAAGGATTATAGTACATGCTTTTAGTTTAGGAGGCTGAGGCAGAAGGATCACCTCAAGGTTTAAGCCATCTTAGGCTACATAGTGAGCTTGAGGTCTGCCTACATAGTAAGGGTCTGTCTCAAAAAGCAAGGGAAATATTTCTGATACATAAGTGGTTGCACAGTATATCAAAACTGAAATTGAATTTAACTTATTCAAATCAAAGTCTGACTTTCTTAGTTCTTATTCTAACACTAGAATGTTGTAGTACTGTGGAAAATACTTAGGCTTTGGAGAGAGATAGATACATATTCTGACTTCCACTTGAGCATTTTTATTTTCCACCTTCTGAAACTTAGTTCTCTTGCTTGCCAAGATTAAGCACTGTGTTAATTTTAATGCTTTTGATTTGCTCAGCATTTGTCAATATGTAAAATCTCATTTGATACTTTATTAAAGGAATATTAGATGTCAGAATATTTTTTCCTTCCCCAAATTCCTTTACATATGGACTTTTATGTATGTAGAATGCTTTTGTTTCTTAAGCAGCAACTTTTGTGGTATCTTTGCACATTACTTATAGTTAACTAATATTTTTTGTTATAGTGTTTTGATAGTGGAGATTGAATCTAGGTCCTTAAGTATATGCTCTGTAGCTGAAATACAACCTGTCTTCCACCACCATTTTACAAACAGCTTCATTAAGGTTGATATAAACTGCAACTATATAATTTGATAAATTTGACATTTTTATACATCACCACAATGAAGATTATAAGGATATCCATCACTCCTAAAGTTTCTTCACACTCCTTATAATTTCTCCTAAAACCGTCTTTCCCCACAATTACAGGTTAGGCTTCTATTACTCTAAATTACTTGACATATATAGATCTTAATATCAATGAAGTATATAATTTCTACCAGTTTTAATGGGTGATTATTTCATTGTCCATGGAGGTACTGATGATTTCATTGTCCATTGGTTAATTACTTCTGTGGTAACTATTTAACCTTTTCCTTCTGCTTTTGTACACTGTGCTTCAGTGTAACAAACTAAACACAAAGGTGAACATTGGAGCCATGTTATCCTTAAGAGTACATTGCTAAATCATAGGCTTTGATACCTTTAAGATAATATGCAAGTAAATTCCAAACTGTCCAGTAGACTAGTCAGATTCCATTATCACTGGCTGTTCTTAGTAATTTCTTCTCGTAGAATATGCTTTGTTATTAAAAATAAAAAGAATCTTAAAACTATGATAGAACAAAATCGGTATCTTGTTGATATACTCGATAAATACTTATATGGATTCCCTTATGAATAACTCAGGTTACAAGTCCTCCTTCATTACATTTTAATAACTTTTAATGGATGTCTAGTGTATGCATATTGTTATGTCCTATTTAATATGAACTGTTATTTTGAATGGTTTATCTAAATGATTGTCTTGTGTTCTTTTTGAAGGTTTGTTATTGAACTTTGTGAACCAATTCAAGTAAAACAACTTGATATTGCAAATTATGAATTATTTTCTTCTACTCCTAAAGACTTTCTGGTTTCTATCAGTGACAGGTAAATTGAACAACTGGTTTCAGTAGGCCTACGTTACACCTTTAGAATAAAATTTAAAAATGGGTCACTTGAGACTTGTGTATTTTTTTAATAGTAGTTTTTAATAACAGATATAAGCTCTTGTTAATCCCTTTTTTTATTTGCTTATATGATGCCTAAACATTATAACCACATACTATTTTTTTAAAGGAGAAAAAAGAAAAACAATTTATTAGAAAATAACATTAAAATATGTAGATGGATAGACGGTCCATATGAGAAAACTATTAATAGAGTAATCAGATGTTTGCATCTATTTGTACTGAATGAGTTTGCTTTTGTAGAGTATAAAATAATATTCAGTTGAAAGTGATCACTTAATTTTTGATATTTCAAAAAGAAGGCAAAACATAAAATATGCCATGCACAAATAAATATCATAAATGCATATGTAAAATAATACACATATGTAAAATGTATACATACAAACCACGAGTAACCAGCTCACATAGGGACTAGTAAAAATATATTGTATTATATCATGTATTAAAAATTTTGTCATTATTTTTTTAGTAGTAGATACTGATATTATTCCTTTATAAATTGAAGAAACAAGTTGGGATTAATAGCTTGCCCAGGGTATGTAACGTATTAAAGGATCGAAACTCAAATCTACAGCTGTGTCACTTTAAGGTCTTTTCTTTAATTCTTATTCTCTATTCTATCCTAACATTTCTTTGAAAGTTATTAAAAACACAAGTGTTTCATTTTATATTATGAGGTATATTTTTAGAAAATGACATTTTCAAACATTTTTGGTACTTTTATAATTGTAAAAGAAGTAAACATTGTAAGGACCTTGGAAAAGAACTGCATTCCTGTCAAAGATAATCACCTTAGCACTTTAATGCATTCCTTTCAGCCTTTCCTATGCATTTATTTATTCTAGTAATATATATTTACCTTTTATTTCTTACAGCCTGAGACTTTTATTTTATAAACAGACCATTTTTAATGAGCACTTAATATTTTCCTCTTGATGGATGTTTGTTCATTCCATGAATACATTTGCATGCCATGATATTCCATGTAGGAAATTATTATTTGTTTTATTATCCTTGAATCATTAAGGTTTTGCTATGATGTTTCTCCCATCACCGCACACTCAGCAATGTATGTGTACAGTTTTTGAAATCGGTTCTCAAAATCTTTTGAAAATTCCATCTACTATTCTGCTACTAACCTTTTTCTCTGAACGTCTTTGTCTCTAAGCCAGAATTTTCTAATATGCTATATGGACATAGCCAGAATGACACATTATTTTTTTTTAAATGTGAGAGAACTCTTTTGAAGCATTCTTTACATACCTCAAACAATAATAATACTATTGGATTTTTATGTTAGGTTACCTTTTAAACCCATCAGCTACCAATGTAAAATTCATCAAGTTCTATTATGATGGTAAAGTTTTTTCCTACTTGACACCAGTATTTGTATTTATACTTCACATCATTATATACTTGTTAGAATGTGAAGAATCATTCTTCTCATTCCAAAACAATCTCTTGGCTATATTGTAAAATTTCTAGGGAGGCTTCTCAAACTTCAGCAGAATTCTTGTCTTGCGTTTCTTTTCCTTATCTTGTTATTTCTTAAGAGTGACTTTTCAAGTTACGTTTTCCTACTGTGGAGGAACTTGTCAGTTTAATGTGAAAATAAAATTATTTAACCAAAGGGATTGTTAAGACATATTGAATCAGTGTGCTCACCTGCAGAGGAAAAGTGTACAGAATATATTTATTTTTTGTATTTTCTAGATATCCCACAAATAAATGGATTAAACTGGGTACTTTCCATGGTAGAGATGAACGAAATGTCCAGAGTTTCCCTTTAGATGAGCAAATGTATGCAAAATATGTGAAGGTAATGTTTCTTTAAGTAATATATCATCTTCATAGTATGTATTTCTCCCTACTTTGAATCTCAAATATTTACTATCACTGAAGTTTTTAAAGCAGGCAGTTTCTTAGTTTACTGAAATTCTTAAATGATTCTAGTTTTAATATACAGTTGTTTCACATTATTATGGCTCTTGCCTTTTGTGTATTCAAGAGCAGTTTTATGTCCAACTACCAGTTTTGAATAGAGAAAAGTTTTTAACACTATTTTGGGTGCTGCTTCCACCAACTAATCCAGTAGAATTCTCAATCTTGATTTGGATTTAAACAAAATAGAGAAATGTTCTGCTCTCTTTCTTCCTCTTTTATTTTAAAGTAATTACTACATTTTAAAATACCATTGTTTTAATAATATAACCTCTTGGAATGGCAGTGATTCTAATTTCTGTCCTTTTTTAAATGTGAGAACTTAATAGCTACTTAATTTTGTCTTCTGGGGTAGTACTGTCTCTTTTTAATGCATGTATCAAATTGACTTCTATCAGTGGATAAACTTGTAGTATTCCTACTTTCAATATAAAAATGTTAAAATTTTTTTAAACTACATTTGATATTTTCAATTAATGACTTTTAAGAGTTCTGAAAATATGCAATCTTTTAATTTATTCTAAATAAGTACAGAAATAATTGTTGAATGACCATATACATACCTAGATATCATACTTTCTACACTGTGAGAAAGAAAAAAATGTTAAAAATCATTTTCCAGGTAATACATTTCAATTTGAAACTAAAAATGTCATTAGATAGTTCTGAGGATCATTTTTATACCACGTACTTTGTTAATAATAGAAGAGTATTTTATTGATGGTATAAAAATGTCATGTAAAACTTTCTGCCTTGTTCTATGATAGGAGACTCTAGAACATTTTGATGATCCGTTTCCAGCAAAACCCTTTGGTGGAAATAAGTTAAAAAGCAAATAGCATTTACTTCCGAGTTTCATTTTAAAGTGTCAAGTACTATAGGTTTTCCTTGTCCTATAAGAATTATATTCATAACTACAAATTAATTTTTAATAGCTTATATTTAATAAATGAATTGATATGTATAATATGTACTTTTTAGTAGTTACAGTTAAGTAACTTGATCAATACCTTTTATAAGTTATCCTTAAAATAATAACATAGAATATTAAAACTTCATGTTTTCCATATATACTATTACACAAGTATGTATAACACTTCATTGTATAGTAGTTTATCTTTTATCAATATATATAATATATAGTTATGTACATCCACATATATCAATATACAAAATGAGCTGCAAATATATACATGATACATAGCTATAATACAGTAATAAAAGGCACAGATTTTTTCTAAAGGTAATGGTTTAGGAATGCTTTTGTAACTAAGATACAAAATAACAGCAGTGGATTTTAGGTTGCTTAACTTTTTGTAAGCCTAAAGTTTTATTTTATTACAGTTGTTAAGATTACACTTCCTAGTTGTGATGGTAAAAATTTAAACCATTTATTTGATTTCTGCAAAAAATTAAGAGTACTACAATGTTATCCATCGCAGTACATTGCTTTCTATAATTATGCAGTATGATTTACAAATTGATGAAGTGCTTGTAGCATGTTATCCAGACTTTGGAACTGATCTCTTTCTCTTTTCATTTCTCTTGCTTCAGATGTTCATCAAGTACATAAAGGTTAGCAACCTTCTACTTTCGCAATATTGAGTAAAGAGCATGGCTTATTGATGCAATATTTAAAAAAGAAAAATGTTACAAGTATTAGTTTTGGGGGAAATGAGGACTATTTTTAGAAAGATGACTATGTTGACCTTATAGGCACTCTGCTGGCTTCCCACTTCATGTGCTTCTGTTTTTTAGGTGGAGCTGATATCACATTTTGGATCAGAGCATTTCTGTCCATTGAGCCTTATAAGGTAAAACAGAACAAAATAAGTTTACTAGAATTTTTCTTATGGCATTATATTGGTTGATACATATCTATAATTCCAGCATGCTGTGAGGCTGATGCAAGAGATTTGCAAGTTTTGAGTGCAGCCTGGGCAATTTAGTGAAATTTCTCAAAATAAAAAAAAAGGGAGGGCCATTAAGATAGCTTAGTGCAAAGGCCCTGGGTTCAGTTGCTGGTATAACAAACAAAAAAACACTTGGTGATTCTTTTAGCTATTTTGCAGTGATAATATATGGAGACATTTTAAACTGATTAAAAAAGGAACTTGATCATTATATTTGTACAGTTGGTGACTAAAATGGAAGACACAGCCATTATTTTGGAGTACAAAAACCTGACATTCATTGTAACATTCAGAACTAATGTTTGTCATGGATGTTTAATAAATGAGTCTGAGTAACTTTGTTTTGTTTTATTAAAAGTCTTTCATTAAATTGATGTTATTAGAGTATTTGGTACTAGCATGGTGGAAGAATATGAAGAAATTGCTGATTCACAGTACCAGTCAGAACGTCAAGAACTGTTTGATGAGGACTATGGTAAGTGATTTTAAATGGGTGACTATTAGAAACTTCTTTGCTTTTATAATTTAATTGTAATGGGTGATTTCTTAAGTCAATGATTGTTGTCACTTTGTTTTGTTTTAGCCCTTATAACCAATCTTATCCTAAATATATCATTTAATGTGATTACCCTATATACATTGTTCCAAGCTTATCAATCAGTTATTTGTAACTAGAACTCCCTTTGAGAACATAAGTGTTATAAGTCATAATCATAATACTATGCCTTGTCCAAGAACCTGTTCAACTTCTAATGAACTGAAATAGTACAAATAAACATTAATTCCTTTGATTTGCCCTGAGCCTAAGGACATTCACATTTGGGCTTGAGCTTTTGAGAAACTCTTATGAGTGAGTGGGATAGGGGAAAGTTTTCTGGACTTATTCATTCATTTTGCTCTATCAAATCCTTATTTTAAATTGCCTTAAATCTTAACTTGAACAGTGTTAAGGGTTTTCTTTTGTCATTTTCACATAAAGGAAGACATTGACTAAGGGTTGCTATATGGAAAGCTTGAATAAAAATCTTACAAATGTGATTAAAATTTTGGTAAACATTATAATCAGTTTTTTTGTTTATTTAGTTAAATCGCTCATGACTCTCTTTCTTTTTGTGAACACGTTTTAGATGTATTGGTAATATTTATGTATAGTTAATATTTAAATGTCAGCTGACTATGAGAGATCATAAGTTTATAAATTTATTGTTTAAACTAGTTCCCAGCATAATTACTTATTTTTCCTCACCAGATTATCCATTGGATTATAATACAGTGGAGGATAAATCTTCAAAAAATCTTCTTGGCTCTGCTACAAGTTAGTATTTTGGAGTTTTTGGAGTTTCTCATTCACACTATTCCTGTATTTCTCATTTTTTAAATTTTGACATAGGTATATTGCTTTTACTGCCAGAGCTGAGTTTAATTCAAAGATACTGGCTTTAAAAACATTTCTGTGGAAGCCAAACAGGAAGAATGGATGAAAAGAAAAAAGAGGTTAAAAATGCAAAATTAATAAAAGTATTTCTTTTTCTCTAATCATTTGAGGATGGTTTCTTTGTCATAAAGAAAGAGCTATGAACTTACTTGAAGGGAAAAAAATTATTAAAAAGATAGTACATCAGTGAAATTCCTAGTGAAAGGAATTTGTTAATTTATAGACATGGATAGTTTCCTGTTTAACTGTAAAATATAAAGGCTGCTCCTTACAGTAATTCAACAATAATAATTGTAAATTAATATATTCTTTGTAAACTAAGAAAATGACTGAAATAACTAGTGTTTTGTGTGCTGTTTCCTGAAAGTGGTATATGAACCTAATGGTAGGCTGACTAAGGAGATTACTAGAAAAGGCTGTACCCAGTCAGCTCATGATTTTTCTGTTAAAATGTGCATGGGTATATTTTCATATTGTTCTTGAATATAAAACTAAGTGGACAGAGTTTTCTTCCTATTTGGAGATTAATAGCAGAATTTAATAAAAATAAATTTTAATAAAGTAGAGGACTAGCTCCTTGTTCTTTTCAAGTTAATGAACTAAATGGTTTGAATACCAGTCTCAGTGTGAACAGTGTCTGTAGTTTTTTAAAATATTCAACCAGTGGTGCCTATACTTGGAAAGATATTTTTATAGGTATATGTGTGAAGAATCATTTCAACTTTTTTCATCTTTGTATCTGTCTTTTCTTCCTGTGTATCCATCTTTCATGTGTTAGAACTTCAGTGAGTGTTTTTAGGGATGGGTAGAATAGTGTTAAAAATACCCAAGAAGAGAATCCCTCTATGCAACATGTAACTTTGCTTTATATCAGTACCTCTTTCACTGCTATAGATGTAGTTTTTTAGGAGTGAAAAAAAATGACATATTATCTGCCTGAGTATTAATATTGTATTTTATTCTTTAAAATTATAATAGTCATTATTCTGTCTTGTGTGTAGCTTAAATGATGCTGAACTAACTCTGAGGAATCACTTATTTTATGAGAGTCAGAAAATAGGCTAAAAAGTCTCTTTCTGGTGGTTACTAGAGAAGTCATTTTAGGGAACATAGTGGTAAGGCATTAAATACTTCCCTTGAGTAGACTTTGTCTTATTCTAAAAATATATTAATACTCTGAGTTGTCTTTTTTTCTTTTTATGGGAGTGACTCATGGATGTCATTAAAACCTAACTCTGGAGGACATTTTCCTATTTGTAGTCACATTTCCAGCCAGTATATTTATTATCTTAATTAGACACGGAATCTTACTTAGATCTAAACTTTTTGGTTCTGTCTCCTTGAAAGTGTTTGTTTGTTTGTTGTTGTTTACACCTTTCAGCATTGCAGGTATCAGAATTGTCTTATAATGAGGCAAGACAGGTGGGAGGATGTTAGATGAACCTAGATATAGGGCTTTAAAATGAGCTCTGCCTCTTGAAATGTCTCAAGAGAGGCAATGTGAGATAAAATATTAAGACTGTTGTCATGAAACTTTCAAAGCTAATCTGATACCGTCACCTCCTCTAATATTGTCCTTGTCATCTTCTCAGAAGAACTTGGCTCTATTTTTAAGAGCCTGACTTACTTATAACCTCCAAAGTGGCATAAGGAGGAAATAATAGGAATAGAGCTGATCCTTGACACTAGATAATCTGTTCAACTTTTGACATTTGTGCCTTAACTTAAAATGGCCTGATTTTGAGGCAAATTTGTTTTTCCTTGTTTTTAAAATGGCTTTATATCAAGAAAAGTTAGGGGCAGTTATGCTGTTGGATACTATATTTGAAGTTATAACTTTATCCTATTATAAACGCATTTTAGTAACCCGATTATGGTAACAAGCTATCACGCATTTGGCTGCAAGTTGATAAAGGTCAGAATATCATATTCACAGTGCTGTTTTTACTCAAAAGACTAAACATAAACTATACTAGGTAATGTTTTGTGAACATATGGAAATTATTTCTTTAGGTGAGATAGATTGAGAAAGTAAATGGGGCCCTAAAGTGATAATAATAAGTAATATTGTTAAAGGATGGATCTTCCTTATAATAGCGCTATCATTTAAAAAATTTAAATTTAGAAATAATATTAAAAAACTATTTTCTGTATACATATTAATAACCTGTTCTTTTATTGAAGTATCTAATAGTAAATGCCCCAAAATTTGAAATCTAAGGTAAGGTATTACTTAGAAGCACAGGAAAGTATGGACCATGGTGGCCCTGTGTGTGGCACATTGAAAGCTCCAAAAAGTTTGCCCTCACTGGTACGGATTGTTGATTCCAAAACTTTGAGTTTAGGCAGTGGTATAAGTAAAAGAACATATCTAATAGTTTAGCATCAGTTGGCATTAGAAGTGAATTTATAGGAACGTAAGTTTCCATTTCTGACTTACCTTGGTTTGTGAAAAGATAATGAGTTTCTGTTGCTGTCATTATCATGCTGAGGCCTCTCTTTAGCCAAAGAAAGAATCAGGGCTACTGTTCTGGTGACTTACTTTACAGGTTGAAGGGCAAGACATTTAAATTCCATCTAAACATATTTAAATGGGCTATATTCAACCTTTTGTATTATACTAATAATCAGAAATACAGCACTACTGTTCTGTTCTTTCAGATTATATAATCATAATTATGTGAAGATCAAAATTGTAACTTGTCAGTTATCACCTTTACTACCTTAGATTTACTACTTTTCTCCTATCGTACAGCATGCGTCTATATCAGGTTCATGTGACCATGCTAAGCAGGCTCCAAGCCTTTCTGATTAGCACGATTCTTTACATTTTTTTTCGACTTTTCACATCTTTGGATTTCATTGAAAGTCTGATGAAACCATGTACATATTTTTTGGAAAGGAGACTAGGATGAAAATAATTTATGAGGTTTGATGTATAGCCGCTGTCACTTGTTAGTATTTTAGTAAGAGAAGAATACCTGATCCTGAAAAAGTTTTGAAATTTGAAGATTTGATTGGAATATATACTAATATCCCTTGAAACTGTATCATATTACCGAGGGGAATCTTCTCTGTTCCCAACACCAGCTTTTATGCAGTACATGTGTGACCTTCATGTATAAGTATGTCTGTCCGTACATATGGAGGTTTGTGCTGCCTTTGTCATCTAACTATTCTCCCAGGAAAGAGGAGAATTGCCAAGTATGCAAATTGCTGTATGTACGCATTCAGAATTTTATGACTTTGACTTTTAGTTAATCTGTCCTATCCATCTCCACATCTCTACCCCAAACACAAAAAGAATTGGTGTGTTTTATGATCCATAAAACATTAATTTGGTTGTTTTTAAGACCTAGTAGAGAAATTTGCTTCTATGCAGTGTCAGTTTGGAATTTGTATTACCAAGAGATACTATGTGTTAAGTGAAAATAATACAAATTTTTGTGCTTTGAATAATAATCTCATTTTTATCATTTTATTTATACTCGTTTTTATCATTCATTAAGGGAAAAATCTGACTTTTAAGCTTCTTTTGGTTTTGTTTTAAAACTATAATACCTTTTAAGGGAAATTTGAATTTTAAAATACAAGTTTTGATTATTACATTTCCTCCCTGTCATGGTACAGGCTATACATTGAATTAGAATTGAATTTTGTGATGTGTAAGTGTTTTGGTAAAAGGCTAGGGACTCTTTACAACAAAAAGTACACTTAAAGCTAAAATTCTTCTTAAACAATTTATGCATTATACTTTTGGGTCCTGTATTTGGCTTCAGTAGTAAAGTAAATAAAAAATGAAATTTTCCAGAAAAAAGGCAAAATAAATAAATCCCATTATGTATGTTTTTAACTAATATTAACTTATGTGAGAATATTTAGGTATATTGGTATTTTGAATTTTGTTTTAGATGCCATTCTAAATATGGTGAATATTGCTGCTAATATTCTGGGAGCAAAAACTGAAGACTTGACAGAAGGTACCTAATTGTTTTATGAATTTTTGAAAAGCTAGTATTCTCTGGGACTTCTTGTTAGGAAAATCAAGTAAATAAGCTAAAAAGAAAATTGCAGTTTATGTTTAGAAATACAGAGATGATCCAAAGGAACTTAGTCTTCTATTACCCATTCTTGGTTACATTCTACCTGTTTTCTTATTGTAAGTGGGTTTTGACTTACCTACAGTAATAACAATTAGTTGTCTGTTATCTATTGAGACTTTATGCTGTAATATTTCAGTGTTGCTTTTTTTATGTATCAGATTGCTACATAGAAAGTTTTTCCTTACTGAAAAGTGAATAAAAATAACTATTATTTAGCAAAGAGAAACAATCATGCTTTTTTTGTTTTTGATAAATGTTTAGTTTTATGCTGGATGTGGTGGCGCACCCCTGTAATCTCAGTACTCTTGGAGGCTGAGGCAGGAGAATCAAAAGTTTGAGTTCAACCTGGGCAAATTAGTTAGTGAATCTTTGTCTCAAAATGAAAAACAAAAAAAGGGTTGTGGACATAGCTAAATGTGAAAGCCCTCAATTAAATCCAGTACCCACTCAAAAAAAAACAAAAACAAAAACAAAAACAACCCTTAGTTTCAAATGAGAACTTAAAAATGATCCATTTATTTCCTCTCATTTTCTTTAATAGCTTTTTAGGGATCTAGAAGGCATATTAATCATCTAAGATAATATAGTGTTCATAGTCATCTATGATTTATCTGAAAAGTTAAATGATATGCATTATTTAACAGTTGTAGTCTTATATGATCCTCTCCATAAGAACTTTGTTTATAAAAAACAATCCAAGGTGGCAAACATATTTCATATTTTTTTTCTTTTCCCCAGTAAAACTAAAGTTCTTTATTTGTTTTATTCATGGTATAGCTTTTAAAAACTGAACTCAACATGGGCATCTTTCTTAAAATAGGCAATAAAAGTTTATCTGAGAATGCCACTGCCACAACTGCACCTAAAATGCCTGAATCAACTCCTGTTTCAACTCCTGTTCCATCACCTGAGTAAGTTATATTAAATAGAGTTCTTCTATTTTTTAAATTAAGTTTATTGGTACAACTTAGATATACATAATGATCACATTCATCCGAGGGAGTTTGCACCTGTACACAATATATTTTGATTCTTTTTTTCCCATTTCCCTTCCCTCCCTTCAGTTCCCTTCCCCTCCTTATTTATAAAACTTTGTTTCCATTTTATCCTTCTTTTATTTTTTTCCTTTTCCCTCTCTTTTCTCCTCCCCTCCTCTAGTTCCTCTTTCTTTTTGAAAATTTTTTTCATGTTTCCCAGTTACACGTTTTGGTTCTTATTTACACTTTCAGTTTCTCATACCAGGGAGACAATGCAATATTTAAACATGTGTGTTCAATTTATTTCATTTAAGAGTATGGTCTCAAGGTCAATCCACTTAGCCATAAATGTCTCAAGTTTATCCTTTTTTATGGCCAGTAGTACTCCATTGTATTAAAAAAAATCTTTTTTTATCCATTCATCAGTTGATGAGCATTTGAGTTATTTCCAAGAATTGGCTATTACAAACTACAACCATGAATACACATACATTGCTACAGTATGATGCTTTTAATTCTTTGGAGAAATTACCCAGAATGGGAATAGCTGACTCAAATAGGACTTCTAGTCCTAGTTTTTGAAGAATCTTCCCCAATGATTTCCACAGTGGTTGCACTACACTCCCACCAGCAGTGGAGAAAGGGTTCCTTTTTCCTCATAGCTGTTCCAGCATTTGTTATTGGTTGATTTTTTTGATTATAGCCATTCTTTCTGGAGTAAGATGAGATAAATCTCTGGGATGACCAATGATGTTGAACATTTTTTCATATATTTATCTGCTATTTGTACGTCTTCATCTGAAAAGTGTGTATTTGTCTCAGATGCCCATTTTTGGATTGGGTCTTCAAATTTGGGGTGTGTGAATGTTTTCAATTCTTTCAATGTTCTAAATACTAGTCTTTTGTCCGAGGAACAACTGGCTAAAATTTGTTCCCACTCTGCGGCTTGTCTTTGGTGATTTCTTTTGCTATGCAAAAGCTTTTTAATAAGATGAGACCCGGTTTTTGATTCTTCATTTTGTTTTCCATGCAAACATGATTTTGTTCATGGAGTCTTTTAAAGTGGAGCACTAAATATGCCAGTATGAAGAACAGAACTTGTGATTTGTGTGTAAAGCATCTATAGAGAACTTTGAATCATAGACCATCCTATGGCTGCTGAGAGCCAGTGAATTACTTCTCATTAGTGTGTATGTGTGCTAAGAATACTCTTCTTTCTAGACCAAGCATTTGTTGTTTTGATTATGCATTATTTTCATTATTTCCTCTTAGTCTTGCCCTTATTGAATATTATTTCCTTATTACAAATAATTGTAATAACCTGTACAGTTATTAACAAAAGGAAATTTGCAATTAAGAACATTTTTTAAAGTTCAAATTTAAAAGCATTGATAACATGTATGTGTGTGTGATGTCCTTAGAGAACTGCAGTACCTAGACTGTTGTACTATACTTGAATTATGTTTTTGTCACAGAACAAAGTGTTTCCTTCCTCAGAATGAATCATATAGTATTTTTTTTTTGGCAGGAATATATCTAAATAAATATAGTTAAAATACTCTCATTTTTCAATACTTTGTACAAAAGATTATTGTTTTTGTTTTTGCTGCCTTATTGTCTATAACAGAAAATAAGCTTATAATGCTTTGGATAACTTGGATTGATGTATATCTCTTTAAATTTACTCCTTGTAAAGTCCTCTGAGAAACTCTACTTACGAGAATAAGATATTTGAATTTGAAATAGTTCCTGGTAGTAGGTAATGATAACTGCAGGGGGTAAACTGTTAATTCTTAATTACCTAATAATTCAAAAATGACTTGTGCTTTAAAGAGCATAGTTTTCAGTGTTAATCCTGAAAGTGACTGGAGATGCTTTTTGGATAATTAGAAAATCTAGCATACATGTTCTGCATTCCTCGAAGAGCCTAAGAAATTTATCCACATATTTGATGTTTCTAATTATGTGGAATTGTGATTACTACCTTTGATTTTATAACTGGGCTTCTTTAGTTAATAACTTATGCTATGTCTTATTTTTCAAAACTGATGTTTTTTATATAAACATATACATATATAGATGTGAATATTTGGTGAAATACTATTTATATAATAACTAATCACATTAGGCATATGTGGCAGTTTTTACTTCTTTCTGTTAAATTTTTTAGTAAACGGCAGAAGATTTATAATGATCTGAAGAAAAATCAGCATGTGTTAGATATTTTTAATATTCTTTTGCATAATTTTTATGTAATGTTTCCTCCTGTGTTTATTTTAAATTGCTTTTAATGATAGCAGTCCTTTGAAGAAAATAAAATAGATTAATGATAGAATGTTGCTATTGAAGTTACTATGAAAAGCTGTCTTACTTTCTTTTCTAGGTTTTAAGTATTAAGTGGCTCTGATTAGTTTGTATAGGCTGTGTGTGACTTAAGGTTCAGTTTAGTTTTCTTTTTCTTCATTATTCTTTAACTGTCAGTTTATTTTGTAGATAATAGATGATATGCCACTTGCATGTGTAAGAAATGTTATTAGTACCTCTATCTGTCTATGGCTATACATTTCTAGCACAGTCTAGAATTCTATTTTGATTTATTTACTACTTCACTCTTAAAGAAATAGTCTACCTTTTAGATATTGTCAGTTGTACTTTTGCTTGTATTACATTAGTCTTTATTTGGAGACATTTCCTAGTGGTGATTTTTAAAAATAGGAAAATTTGTTTTGAAAATAATTCTGTTTTAGTATTACTGTTACTTTATTTTTTCAGATTGTACTATTTATGCTATAAGGCTACATGCAGAAATTTTCTATATATCTTTATATTGGTAGGAACAACCGTAATTCATGTTTCCACCAACTCCACCCTACCCCTAAAATAGTCTTTATGCTATGTTAGCATAAGTGGTACTATTGATTTATGATAAGCCAGGATTTCTGTTAACTTGGTTAAGTATTTGCCATTTAATAATAGAAAATTAACTAGGTCTGGTGGTACACGCCTCTAATCCTAGCACTTGGGAGGCAGAGAGGCAGGAGACTGTAGCAAGTTCGAGACCAGCCTTGAACTACATAGTAAAACCCTGTTTCAAAAAAGACCAAAAACAAACAAACAAAACAACAATAACAACAACAACAACAAACGAAGAAAAAAAGAAAATTAGACCAGATGATATTTCTCATGCAGATAATTCTGTGTGTGTGTAATTGTGTGTGTGTGTGTGTGTGTGTGTGTGTGTGTGTGTGTGTGTGTGTGTATGTTTTGGAATTCCTCACATTATCTACAGAAAGATGATCTTTGAGAAATCTGGCTACCTTTTGAAGACAGAATATTGAAGCACAAAGTATATTCTTAAGTATTAAGAATCCTGGATTCTAGTTCTGGTTCTTGGGTAGCTTCATTTCTAATCTGTCAAGAGTGATGAGGTTTGTAAAGATTTGGTGAATGTTTATGGATAGAAAGGTGTACTACCTTCGGAAAACTGAATTGTTCACTTATAAGTAGTTCTTAACTAGATATCAAAAAAAGGAAATTTTGATAAGGTAAATGTAGTAGACTAAGTCACCTTGACTGGTCACTTAATAAATGAACTTTCTGTTGCCATTTCTAAGTAGTATTTTAATAAAGAAACTGTTTTGAAAGAGAAAAATTCATCCCACATTTGAGTTTCTTCTCCATTTTCAATCTTTTATGTCTATTAACTTTAGATTTTTAAGTAATGTTATTTGTAACTATGATATATATTTCTAGGTATGTAACTGCTGAAATACGTGACACAGAGCTGTCAACACCAGATACTCCAAAAGAAAGTCCCATTGTACAACTAGTTCAAGAGGAAGAGGAAGAAGCAAGTCCATCCACAGTGACCCTTCTGGGAAGTGATGAACAAGAGGATGAATCATCACCTTGGTTTGAGTCAGAGACACAAATATTTTGCAGTGAACTTAGCACAACCTGTTGTATTTCTAGTTTTTCGGAATATGTATATCAGTGGTGTTCAGTTAGAATTGCTTCTTTCCGGCAGCGTAGCAGAACTGCTGTGAGTGAAGGAAAAGATGACCATGTGTCAACTCGGCCGTCAGTGCTCCTTCCTGCAGAATCAGTTGATGTCTCAATATTGCAACCTCCAAGTAGAGAATTGGACAGTAAGAATGTAGAAAGGGAAACGGAAACTGTTACCCTTGATGACTTGAGTAGGGCACACCAAGGTGATTTGGCAAATCATACGGTAGAGCTAATTGAACTTGAACCAAGTCAGACTCCAACTCTTTCTCAGTCATTTCTCTTAGATATTACCCCAGAAATCAGTTTGTTACCTAAAACAGAAGGAACTGAGTCTGTTAAGCATGAGACACAGCATACACCATCACAAGTAATTACACAAGAAAGTTCTGTTGATCTTGATAATGAAACAGAAAAAAAGTCTGAGAGCTTTAGTTCTACAGAGAAGCTGACTATGATCTATGAAACAAACAAAGTTGATGAGGCAACAGATACTACTGTAAAAGAAGATGTGATCTCCATGCAGATTATCACTAAGGTATCAGAAACAATAGTATCACCTATAAACACAGCCACTGTCTCAGACAGTGAAGAAGGGGATGCCAAAATGACCATAACTGACACTGCAAAGCAAATTTTAACTCCTCTGGATTCTTCATTAACTGAAGTAAAAGAGGAAGAACAGTCTCCAGAAGATGCTCTTTTGCGAGGGTTACAGAGGACAGCTACAGATTTCTATGCTGAATTGCAAAATTCTACAGATCTGGGATATACTAATGGAAATCTTGTACATGGATCAAACCAAAAGGAGTCTGTATTTATGAGACTTAATAATCGTATTAAAGCCTTAGAAGTTAATATGTCTCTCAGTGGTCGCTATCTAGAAGAGCTTAGCCAAAGGTAAGCTTTATTGTGAATTAGCATAATCCGTTCCACATGGTAAGTTTACTAGCAGGGTATAATCTGTGATTATAGAGGGAGAAGATACACTATCTCATGATGTATTAATAGTGTAACTAGCTGAAGAGAGAAAGCTACTTGGATAGTGATCCATGACAGAATTTTCATTCTTTTTCTGTGTAAGAAGTACTATAGAAGGATACAAAACCCTTATTATTAGGCTGGTAACAAATCTGTATTCCTTTCTTCTTTGTGTGTGTGTGTGCGTGCGTGTGTGTGTGTGCGCGCGTACGCGTGTGCGTATACACATGCACACGCACCTATACTGAAGTCTCCATGTGTTCCACAGACAGTTCTTAAACTCGTGTGCTCAAGTAAGACTGCCACCTCTACCTCCCAAATGGCCTGGACTACAAACATGGACAACTTGCAACCCAACCTCACTTTCTCCTGTGGCCTAACTTTAGTGACTTTTACTATTTGATTCCCAGAGGATATATGGAAATATATACCTTAACCTGTTAGGGGAAATTGAGCAGGTATCATTTAAGAGCTTAGATAAGTAAAGATGAGAGTAAACTAAACTGGGTGCTTAAGATTTCAAACTTGCACTTTCTTATACAGGTCATACAATCCCAGTTGTAATTGTGATCATTTATGCCCTTGTGTTTTGTAAGTGTCAGAGGCAGTACCAGTACACTTACGCAGTGATTAAGATTCTAAACATAATTTTCCAATTTTTAGACTTAGTTTCTCTTTTAATTCTTCAAGTACTGTACCTAGTATCTGTCCTCCTAACTGTGCAATCACCTAAACCTCAGATGCTAGAGTTCTTGAAAACCCTATATTTTCTCACTCATCTGATTCTGAAATACTACTGCTGAGATGTCTGTATACTAAAGAAAATTTCTTCCTAATTTATACATGTATTTATGATTTATTGGCAAATTGTGTGTTATGTGTACATGCCCCATTAACTACCTCATACCTGTTCTTGCCTTCCTGGTGTACACCCCATGGGAAATATAGAAATCATTAAATTTTACAAAGCAATGAGATGCATTGGTAGCTAATACTTCAAGAGCCTCTTTATTATACCTTTGTAAGTGTTCCTGTATTGTACAAGCCTTATAAGATTTAGTTTAAGAAAAGTCTCTCATATCACAAATTCAGAAGTGTTTCCAGTACTAAATGAATAAAAAATTAATTTAAATCAATTCCTACTCTGTAGGTACCGAAAACAAATGGAAGAAATGCAAAAGGCTTTTAATAAAACGATAGTGAAACTTCAGAATACTTCAAGAATAGCAGAAGAACAGGTTGGTTTTTTTTTCTAATCCTGTTTATACTTCATGTTATATTTTTTAGGACTTAATTGGTATAAGAGATAAGTAAGATGCTTTTCCTGATAGCTGATGATTAAGCTTGAATAGGATGTCATGTTTAGAAAGTTGTCTAGCTATTAGCCTTTTCTTCAGAAACAATTTTCTTGAATATTGCATATATTTATATTTTGCATATGCAATGAACTTTTCTGCAACTTTTTTAGACTTTAAATATTTTGTTGTTTTCTCTGTGAATAATCTCACTACAGACAAGAACTATTTTTTTTTTTTTTTTTTTTATGTCTTAGAGTTAAAAAGTGATGCAGTAGGACTGAGGATAGTGGTGACTTCCCAATCTTGTTGATTTTTTAGAGAACAGTTTCAGTGTTGTAATCTTATGATGTGTGCTTATCACAATAAAGAAATTTTATATCTTTCTCAGAAGTTAATTGGAATTATAAGATGTTGAAGTAAGTAGATCTTATATTGCTGAGTTTAGTTAGTTGCCTCTTAGGGTCTGTGCCTGGTATATTTAATTAATTGTGATCTTTCCCTTATTGGTCCCCTCCCCCACTGTGGGATTTGAGTGTTCTTTACATCTTCTGAATACATGTGCTTTATCAGAGATTTGCTTTGCCAAAAGTATTTCTTCCCAGTCTTACTGGTTTTTTCATCTCTTTATAGTGTAATTTTAACAGTGGAAATTGTTGATTTGTTGAAGCCTCATTTACCAGTTTTCCTTTTGCTATTTGAAATATTTACCTAACGCAGAGTTGCAAAGATTCTTTTCCTATGGTTTTCTTTGAGAAGTTTTTTTTTTTTAATCAGTACATCTTTGCAGCACATAATTTCTTTTGTGAAGTTAGTACATAACATATTTTGTTTTATATGAGGTTTATGTTCCAGTTTGAGTTAATCATGTGCTACAAGGTATAGATCAAAGTTCTTTTGGGGAAGGGTTGATGTAAAGGGAAAGGCACACAAATACCTGTTTTCACATCATTTGTTGAGAAGACTGTCCTTTCTTCACTGAATTTTCTTTGCATTTTTGATAAAAATTAATTTACCATATATATTTGAGTCTCTGGGCTTCCTACCTATTCCACTGGTCTGTTGTCTGTTTTTATGCTTAACATAAAGTTGCAGTAGTATTATAATACTCTTGACATCAAGCAATGTTAGGTCTTGAAACTTTACTCTCTTTCAGGATTGTTTTGGCTATATTAGTTTTGTTTGTTTGTTTTTCCACTTGTATATTTTATAATCATGTCAGTTTTTAAAAAATTAAATCAAACCAAAACAAAACAAAAAAAACCTTGTTTGAATCTTGACTGGAATTTTGTTGAATTTAGTCAGCCTGGAGAGTTAGTATCTTGAATTTTTTGATCCATGAGCACAATACTTTTGTCAATTTTTATACAGTGAATTCTCCTTTGTATTTTCTTTATGCTTAATATGTAAAATGTTTTGTACCATGCCTCAAAGATTTATGTAGGTATTTTTCATTGATCTTGTGTATTGTTACCACTGTTGGAATTGTCAGCATTTCTTTATTGAAAGTGTCATCCACCTTATAAATGTTTACAACTGTCTAGAATTTATGAACTCAAAGGTGAGTCAGAATTGAAAAGATGCAATTTACTGAATCACTGTCACATTTTTAAAAGATAAAGTTGAATAGAAAGTTCCATCAGAGACCACAGCAAAGAAAAAAAAAAAAATGAAACCTTTTGTTAAAGTTTTATGTATCCCTCCCCCACACTTAAGTAAGACAATACATTTTTGAATCTAAATTTGTAAAACTTAGTGTAGAATAATAAATATGTAACTGTTTTATATCAGGTGCCAAATAAGAGTTTTAGAATTCTCTGCCTTCCTGCCCTCTTTTCCTCCTCAGCTAACCTTCTACCAACTGCATTAGGCCTGTGTGTTTGGTACAATCTGCCTAAATATAGTTTTATAACTATTAATGTGATGTATAATTTTCTAATATACACATGCAAATGATGTTTTAAAGATATGTTTGTTGATTTTTTTTAGTTTCTAAAATTTAGTGTTTCTTAAAAGATGGAATGACAGGCAGCTTTTATTAATTTCTTTTCATTGATGGGATTTTGTAATTGATGAAATGACCAGTTTTGGGTTGTTGATTGTGACATCCTAAGTACCATTATAATACGCCATGAAAGAGAAATTTTTAAACCTTCTTAGTATTAAAAATCTACTTTGTGTTCAGAAACATTTTTCAATAAGGTTTCAACATGTCTATCAACTTCCTTAAAAATACTTGTTCAATAGTGACAACTTTTGCATATATTTGGTTACCTGCTGGGTTATAGATATGAAAACCCTATTGGTTTAAAAACTAGTATGTTTATTAACTTCTATGTTAATATAGTATTCTGCATTGTAGCAGTGAGTGCCAAGAAAACATGTAAAAGAGAAGGTTTGAACAGAGTTTCAGATTCTTTAAAGAATTTTTTTTTAATTTCAGACCAAAGCTTGTTATATTTAATTCATAAAGTTCTTATGAATACATGTTTAGAAATAATTTAGTGACTACTCCAGATTATTTATTCTAATTCAATTTGTAATATAGTTGATATACATATAAAATACAGAGAAAAGTAATATTTAGTATTTTGTTATAGGACCAGAGACAAACTGAAGCCATCCAGTTGCTACAGGCACAACTGACAAACATGACACAGCTTGTTTCAAACTTATCAACAACAGTAGCAGAGTTAAAACGAGAGGTAACTTTTGCTTCTCTTGTAAGACAGTATATGTGGGAGCATTGTCATTAGGCATCAACACAATGAAATTTTAGCCAAGTGTGACTCATTTTTAGAGAACTTTTTTGGAAGAACAAAATTGGTGTTTTAAAGTTTTGGAAAGATTACTATTATCATCTTTTGCATGACATGACTTTCATAATTTAGGTCTTAACTATAATACATGTATACAGCTTTTCTATAGGCATTTTACAGAAATTAATGGTAGCAAATAGACTTCCTTTTCAATTCCAGAGGACTTATAAAGTTACTCGATAAAGGCTGGGAATTTAGCTTAGTGGCTGTAGTGGCTCAAGTGCCTGCCTGGTAAGCATGAGGTTGTGAGTTTGATCATGGTACCCCCCCCAAAAAAAAAAGTTGTTCAATAGAGCATAATTTTAATTGATTTAAAAGTATTTCTTGAGTAACCAATACGTGTAAATCATAGACTATATGGTTCTGGGTTGGGACATATAACACTGCAAAATTTTCATTCTGGGAGGAATAGCATACATAGCAAATACATGTTTAGAGGATAATGTCTCTATGGTTAGTGGTATGAAAGGAATGCAGTGTTGTTGTACAGTGTAATTGTTAATACTGAGGGATACTGCTTTCTCTAGGACCCAAGGTTTAAACAAAGTGATATTTTGAAGGGCAGAAAGAAAGCTAGGGGGGTCTGAGCAGAGTGAATGAGAAAAATCAGACTGAAAATGGCTTTTGGGTATTGGCAGGCACCTGCCTGATCATGCAGAATTTTGTAACCAATTTAAAGTTTGAATTTTATTCTCATCACTACTTGTTGCTGGGAAGTATTAAGTAAGGACATGATATGAGTTATCTCTCTGATGCTTAAGGAGTTGCACAAGAGATTGCCTGTTGGGGGAAAGCAAGAGCAGACATAGGGAGGAAAGCAATTAGGAGGCAGTTGCCGTAACCTGGGTGAAGTGATGTTGGCTTGGACTAGGGCTTCAGAAGCAGAGATTAGGGCAAGGTTATTGAATTCAGGGTATATTAAAGAGGTAGAAAAACAAGCTGTGCTGAAATACTAGGAATACAGGTAAGAATTAAGGATTTACGAGTCCTTGGCTTATATATCTAGATGATTAGTGGTTCAGTTTTGTGTGACAGGAAAGACTAAAGGAGTGCACTTTTTCTCCCAAATGAAAGTAAGTACAAATGGAAAGACAAACCAAATGTGACAAAAAAATGATTGATGAAGATAGGTGAAAAGCATAAATATGTCCACTGTATTGTTTTGAAAACTTTTCCGTAGGTTTGAAAATTTTTTAAACAAAGAAATAGGGTAAGGAGAAAGGAAAACAAAACACTGTATTAATAGTTAATTTTCGGAGAACACGCGCTGCATTTTGTGATTTTGAAGCACATTTAAAAATATTTAAAATGATTTGTTCTTTGAAGTTTACATTCACTGTATTTCCCTAGGATGATTCATTATTATAGTTACTATTGTCTAACTCTCTTCTCATCTCAGGTTTCAGATCGACAAACCTATCTTGTTATATCTTTAGTTCTCTGTGTTATCTTGGGACTGATGCTTTGTATGCAGCGTTGTCGCAGTACCTCTCAATTTGATGGAGATTATATTTCAAAACTTCCCAAAAGCAATCAATATCCAAGCCCTAAAAGGTAATACTAGCATTCTGTGACACAATTTTCTTTATTTCACGATACTTTGTAATATGTTTGAGAAACATTGAACACATAACAAAAATAAAAAGTGAAGTAATTCCTTTTCTCCCATGATTATCTTGAAATCTTTTGGTAAAACACTGATAGTAAGTACATAAAGCCCTTGAAATTGGTTGAGAAAGATGCTCAAATGTAAAAATCACAGGAAGAGAAGAAGTATTTTAGATGAATTGTTTTAGATGAATTGTTGTGTGCATCGGGAATCAAACTCAGGACTTTGTCCTTACCAGGTAGGCACTGCACCACTGAGCTGTATCCCCCACACTAACTAGATGGTAACTTTTTGCATCTTTAACAATAATAGTTATAAAGTTACTTAATAAAATAAATTTTCATTGATTTAACAAGTATTTATTGAGCAGTCAGTGTATATAACATATAAGCTATACAGTCTGAGGTTGGGTAACATGCCAACCTCACAAGGGCTTACATTCTGGAGGAAGGATAATTAATTTGGACTTAGTCTCCTGTGGTATGTACAATTCTCAGTATCCTGCATTTAACCTCAATTACAGAGTAATGGTAGTGTATGTATTGTGCACAGTATTAATTTTTCTTAATGCATTAGGTGTTTCTCTTCCTATGATGATACGAATTTGAAAAGAAGAATTTCATTTCCACTCATCAGATCTAAGTCTCTACAGTTCACTGGCAATGAAGGTATTTTTTGTGCTTATGCAGTATATAAATATTACTTCAGGCATAAATGTAAAGTCACTGTTGTGTTCATGATCATCTTCAACTAAGATGAATGAATACAAGAACTGATGTGTTTGTGCTGTGTCACAGCCTCTTTATTGTTCTCACATTTATTTCTCTGTTCCTTTAAAAGCCCAAAGGGTAGGGAGGGGGGCTTAGTTCGTTTAATTAGCAGGTGGTAGTTTTGTTTACACATGCTCCTGTTTAGAAGTATTTCTTTTTAGAAAGGGATGTTTGAGAAAGTTCAACAGATATGGAAAACCTGAATGTGCTCCCATAGCATCCTGTGCTTATCTGCCTCCTCTTCCTGTACAGGTAGGATTCCTTTTGTGTCAAGTTTAGGACTGTGAGGTACTTTCTAACTGAAAATCTGATCTTTCTGTCTTCTATAATTCTAGTCTATAATTGAGTTCCATTGTCTAATGTTCATTATGTACTTACGTTTAAATGAATGATTGTGTACTGAGTGGGAATTTTCCTACTTTAGTGTTTTTGTAAATAGTGCTTATTAAGAAACTTAGAAATTTATCTTCATAGTGATACTAAAATAACCTATTAATTCTATATTTCAGTTATGAGTGCTCTTTTAATAATCATTGGCTGTTCTTTTCTTTTTTTTGGATTTAGTAACTGAGCAGCATGTTTCAGTTGATTAAATTATTCAAGTAATGAGCTTTACTAGTATATTGCTATCACAAAGCTTTCCAAACATAACAGTTAACATAGTATTTACTTAAGTTGGGTAAATCTTTTTGTCCTTTGTACTTTATTTTTCTTTTGGTTGCCATTTTTCTGTAAAGTGAAATTTCTTGTTGAAGTATTATATACAGTACAAGAAGATAAAGCAATCATATGTAAAGCTTAAGAATTTTAGACTTAACATGGACCACGTAACTACATCCAGATTAAGAAGCAGAATATTACATAAGTATTATCAGCACCTCAAAAACTGTGCTTTTTCAGTCACTACCATATCCTAATGGGTAGACTGTTAACTTTTTTTTCTTGGTCTTATGACTATATTTTTTTAAGCCATTTTATTTCCAGGAGAAAAACAGAAAAGGAAAGAAAAAAAAACTGAAACATAATTTTAAAACATGTCAATTAGGGGGTAACAATGGTACGTACATTGCACATTGTCATCCCGACATTATTGTCAGAGCACAAGACATCTGCATTCAATTGTCCGAACAGTATCAGCACAAATCTTTCTTTTCAGTGAACTCAGAAAAATCAATAATGTGTTACCTTAACTAGTTTTTTTATATACGTATATCTACATACACGTTGCTTATATTCTTTCATTCAGCTTCTCACACCAATAAGACAATACAATGGTTTACACCTGTATGTCTCATTTCACTTACGAGTATAGTCTCAAGTTGCATCCATTTACCTATAAGAGTCTCTGGTTTATCCTTCTTTATGGCTGTACTCCATTATACATTATATGTAGTATTCCATTATATTAAAATACCACATCTTCTTTATCCATTCCTTAGTCAATGGGCATTTATGTTGTTTCCAAAATCTGGGTATTACTAATTGTGCTACTATAAACATGGTGCACATATATCACTGTGGTATGATGTTTTTAATTCTTTTGGGAAGCTATCTAGAAGGAGAGTAGTTGGGTCAAATGGAACCTGTAGTCCTAGTTTTTTGAGAAATCTCCACACTGATTTTCACAGTGGTTGTACCAATCTGCATTCCTACCAACAATGGAGAAGGGTTCCTTTTCCCCCACAGCCTGTCTAGCATTTATTATTGCTTGATTTCTTGATAGTAACCATTCTTGGTGGGGTGAGGAAGAATCTTAGTGTTGTTTTAATTTGCATCTCTTGAATGACCAGTGATGTTGAACATTTTTTCATACATGTTTTTGCTGTTCATATTACTTCATCTGAGAAGTATATATTCATTTCAGATGCCCATTTTTGGATTGGGTATTTAAATCTGGGAAGACTGGATTTTTTCAATTCTGTATGTTCTCTCTAGTAATCTTTCGGCTGAGATATGGCTGGCAAACATTTTTCTCCCACATTGGTTGTCTCTTCACACTATTGGTGGTTTTTTCTTGCTGTGCAAAGCTTTTCAATAGGGTGAGATCCAAGTTGTTGATTCTTTGTGGTAATTCCTGTGCAACTGGGATTTTCTTCATTAAGTCTTTGCCCACATAATGTCTTCAAGAGTTTTGCATACTCTGTCTTTCAGGAGATTTAATGTTTCTGTTTTAATACTGATCTTTGATCCATTCTGATTTTAGTTTAGTGCACGGTAAAAGATAAGGGTTCAGTTTGAATCTTTGGAGTGTGTAAAACCATTTATTAAAAGGCTGTCTTTTTTTTAGTGAATGTGTTTGGCACCTTTGTCAAAAATAAGGTAGCTTAATGTGTCTGGAGTTGATTTTGCAGCTTAATCTGTTCCATTGGTGTTAGAGTGTGGTTTTTTGCCAGTATCATGCTGTTTTTATCACAGTACCTTTGTAGTACAATTTCAAGTCAGGGATTGTAATGCCTCCATCCGGTCTTTGTTGCCCGGGATTGCCTTTGCTACTCTAGGTTTTTTCTGGTTTCAGATGAATTTCAGGATGTTTTCTTTTAATTCAGTCAGGTATGCTATTAGAATTTTGATTGGGATTGAATTGAACCTGTATAACAGTTTTGGAAATATGGCCATTTTCAACATATTGGTTCTTCCTACCAAAGAGCATGCGATATCTCTCCATTTTCTAATATCCTCTTCATTCGTGTCTCGTGCCTGATTTTAGAGTAAAAACTTTGAATTTTTGTCCATTTAGCATGATGTTGACTGTTGTTTTGTCATAGATGGCTTTTGTCAGATCTCAATCTCAATCTAAAAGGCCATCTATTCCAATTTTCTTTAGGGTTTTTCTCAAGAATAGCTGGACTTTGTCAGAACCTTTTTCTGCATCTATAGAGGTGATCATATGATTTTTGTCCTTAGCTCTGTTAATATAATGTCTTATATTTATGGATTTACATATATTGAACCATCTCTGTATCAATGGGATGAATCCGATTTAACCAGGGTGTATAATTTGATGACTTGTTGCAATTTGTTTGCCAGTATCTTATTGAGGATTTTTGCATCAATATTCCTTAAGGAAGTTGGCCTATAATTCTCTTTCTTAGTTGGTCCTTCTTGGATTTCAGTATCAGGATAATACTTGCTTCCAGGAATGAATTTGGAGTATTACTTCCAATTTCATTAAAGATTTTGAGAAGTAGTGGTGTTAGGTCTTCTCTCAATTTCTTGTAGAATTCAGAAGTGAATCTGTCAGGGTCTGGGCTTTTGTTTGTTGGTAGGTTTTAAATTATATCTTCCATTTCATTGATTGATACTGGTTTATTTTGAATTTTTTATATCTTGATTCAGCTTTGGTAATTCGTGTGTATCTAGGAATTTATCCATTTCTTCTGTATTTTCCTTATTAGAAAACAAGTTTTCAAAGTATAAAAAGTATACTTTTTAAAAGTATAAAAGATAATCTGAGTTTCTTCAGAGTCTTTTGTGATTTCATCCTTTTCATTCCTAGTTGCATGGATTTGAGTCTTTTCTTTCCTTTTTTGATAAGGTTGGCTAAGTGTTTGGCAATTTGATTTAATCTTTCTTAATCAGTCTTGGTTTGAAATTCACTTTGCCTGCAAATAGAATAGCTATCCCTGCTTTTTTCTGGGTTCTTGTTGCATCCTTTGACTTTCAATTTGTGAATTTCTTTTTGAATTAAATGTGTTTCATGTATGCAGCCTATTGTTGGATCTTGCTTCTTGATCCATTCTGCCAGTTTATGCCTTTTGACTGGTGAATTGAGACCATTAACATTGATGTTTATAACTGATATGTATTGACTTATCCTTGTCATGTTATTTTCCTGTCGTTGGCTCCCTCACTACCCCAGTTATTTGCCTTTCCTGGTGGATTCCTTCTGTTGAGGTTCATGGAGCTGCAATCCTTATCATTTCTTTCTAGAGTGTCGTTCAAAACATTTTGGAGTGCTGATTTGATGGTCATAAATTTCCTCAGAAGTCCTTTATCATTGAAGTATCTTATTTCTCTGTCAATTTTGAAAGATAGTTTTGTGGGATGCATCAATCTCTGAGTTGAAAGTTGTTTTCCATTAGAACTTGGAATACTACTCTCCAAGTTCTCCTTCATTTCAGAGTTTGTCCTGAGAAGTCAGCTATAATTCTGATAGGCTTTCCTTTGTAGGTGATTTGTTTCTTTTCTCTAATAACTTTTAGGACTCTATTCTTGTTTTCAATTTCTGGAATCTTAACTGTGATCTGCCTGGCCATAGATTTTTTTTTTTTTTTAATCACTGCTAATTGGAGTTCTATATGCCTCATTTATCTGTATATCAAATTCTTTTTCTGTACCAGGAAGTTTTCTGTCATGATGTCTGTGAACATTTTTTTTGATGTCATTTATAGCATCTCCTGCTTTTTCATTGGCTCCAACCAGTGGTAAGTTACTCTTCTTGGTCTAGCAGCTGCTGGATGAATTTCTCATGGTTCCTTGCTATTTTTCAGAGATCTTTATTTTCCTGGTTGCTAACTACAAGCCTGTCTTCAGTAGCTGAGATCCTGTCCTCATATTGGCCTTATCTACTTGGAACACTTTCCGTTGAGTTTTCTCCTGGATGTCTGCTTGAATCTGCATTATGGATTCCATTTCTTTGCTGCGCTTCCATAATTTTCTTAAGCTGGTCTATTTTTTTTGTCAGTATCTGCTCTAACGTCTCTAAGCATGGTGTATATTTTGGTGGTCTCTTAGTTATCTGAGATTATTTCTGATTTCATTTTTTTCCAGAACCTCATTCAATTGCTTTGTTGTTACCATTTCAGAGAGGCCCAGTGGGGAGCTCTTGGATTATCCCACCTCGTTGCCACCCGGGTTTGCCTTTGGAGAACTCTTTTTTTTTTTTTTTTTAAGTTTAA